ATGTACCGAGTTCATTGTATGTTACTTCAAACAGTTTTAGGCATGATATTTTATAATGGAAATAAATGCACATATTGAAGTAGTATATAATAAAAATAGAATTTCGGAAGTCCGAAAGTTATATAAAATTAGATCAAGTTAAGGATATTGTACTCGTTCTCCATAGATAGATGGATTGAAATTTGAGGAATGTACTGCGACCTGTGGCTTATTGTGCCTTCTGCTGTTATCACAAGACTTTGATTAACACAGTCAAACCAAAAGCGCTTAGTAAAGCCCCTGGGTTAATGTGTTTCCTTTCCGATTTTTCTACTATTACTACTCCATTTGTGGGTGAATAGGAGATACAAATGAACCGCTCAGAAGGAGTTTTAGCCACGTTCCATGACTATCGGTGAAGCATAAGTTAACTAAAATATACCAAAGGCCAATCAACAGAGAAAACAGTGGGTTCCTCTAGCAAACTTGCGCCAAAGAAGTCGAATACTGTTCTACCGGTCGGAGGGCTGATGACCGTTTTTTTCTAAAATTCCCACGTTGTTAACTATATCGACTACATAGAAATTGGTTGTACTTTACCAAGTTATTGGGTGACTTCATTACCAAGTTGTAAAAGAAGGCGAAGAACAAATGGTTCTGCCATCGTGACACAGCACCTGCGCCACTCCATCCTATTTCTATTAGTTGTCAAACTTGAAAAAGGCACTCACCGGTCAAAAATGTTAGTTGTATAAGCCTACTTTTCAGACCTCTACAAAACCCTTGTTAAAACATGGCTGTTTTAAGTGTATCGAGCTAAAGGGGAAATGAGTGCCAATTTTTGCCCCAAATTTTCGCTTTGCATTAACTTAAACTTAAATTAACAACACGTTTGAGCAGTTTTACTTTACCAGACTTTATTTTAACAAATTATTTTGAAAATAAAGCGTACCACAACAAAATACAACCAATCCTCGTTAAGATTGTTAAGAAAAAAATTTAACTGAAACCTAAGTATTAAGATTTTAATTAACTCTCCAAAACATAATCGAATATAACATGAAGCATAATTATTAATTATAACTTCTAGTTTGTAAATACAAAATGCAAATTAAAATCAAAACCGAAATTAATGATTACTTGTTTTGCTAAATGACAGCTTATGTAAATATAATTACATAAACAGAAAGATCGCAAGAAGATGAAAATGTCAAAATCAAAACTGTCAAAGTTGATTTGCGTCATAGTCCGATTGAATGATTTTTCTATGAGCTTACAAATCTTCATAGAACATAGCACTAGAGTGATGTGGATGCGAAGTTGAACAGTGTTTAAGTCATTAATGTTTATGTGTGTTTAAGTCATTATGAACGGAGAAAATACTGTTGTGAATATTCGTTCCACCAAATATAACCTACACAACTTACACCGAGTCGATGCTCAACTTTCACAGGAGAAAGTGGTCATTCTCGAACCGTTCTGTTTTGTGCTAGGTAATCTTCGCTGCTGTATGGTAACTGAGTTTGCACTAGTTTGTAATACTTAATTAAAAATTAATATTTTAAGATATTTGTCCAAGAAATTTTCTAATTGCTTCATAACTAAAATGCATTCGAAACCCCTCTCCGAAAATATTTAGGCAAATAATCTAAAGGTTTTTCGGTGCGGTTTGTTGAAGACCAGTTTTTTGACTTGATGTCGCGTTATTCCGTGAGATTTCTCTAAAAAATTTTAGCCAAAAAACAATAGAAATTATATCGTAAAGAAAGGATACAATTCTTATATTTGACTTCCTGTGACTTCATTACTGTTCTCTTTCTCAGTTGATTATGATATAAATGCCCTTCTAAAAGGCATTTGTACCAATAATATAATTTTAATAATAACAATATTATTGAGACTTGAGAGAGATTATGCTGTAGAAGTAAGTTTTTCGAACAGCTCTCTGTCTAAAGAATCTGTCATTTTCTTAATTTTAGAGCCAATCCGAAAGCAAGCACAGACTTCAAACAATAGGTTTGTATATATATAATATTATACTAGTGTAAGTAATTTTGGTCACCGAAGTTCCCAAATGTTTGGCAAGTCTTTTTATTTTGAGATTGACTAGATCTTGAAACAATATAATTGAAAACTGTTATTTTAAAAACTGAGCAATAACTGAATTTATGTTTCAGAGCTTTTCAACTCACTGGTAAACTGGTATCATCCACACGACATCAACAATATTGTATTGTATGGGAAACAGTCGGCTGACTAGTCAAACGGTTCATACCAGTTGTAGTCTAGTTATTATCTAGTTCAATTGATAGCAAGGTAGTTGTCATACCACGTGGTTATGCGTACATGATTGTCTGTATGTATCCGCCAATCATATTGTGTCACAGCTGGAGCGCGCAAGTTGAATGACAATGTCAATGTTGTTGCTGGCTGTTCGCCTGTTTGTTAACCACCATGTTGCATGTTGCGTTTTGCAATATTGTCGCTATAATTGCATTGACTTCGTCGAGTTTGTTCATCACATGGAAACCAACATGTGGGCACAAACAACAACCATAGCCACAAAACAAAGAAACCGTAAGCAGAAAGCCAAGCAGAAATAATGAACTCCGAAGTCCATAAATCCATAGAGTTTTTGTGCAATTTACTACTAAAGTGCAACAAGTAAAAATAATTGTTATATTAACTGCGCCGTCGCTAATGCAGTTATTATCGTATATATGCTGTTGCTTTTGTTGTTGTTATTATGCGACTATTGCTGGGCTGACAGTGTCAGTCGTCGGCATTGCATTTAAATTGATTGTGAACTAAGCTGACAGCAAACAACAGACAGCAGTGACAGTTGAGCAGCATGGCAATGCTCGTATGTAGCATGCCACATGCATCATGGGGCACGCATTTAATCAAGCATATTACAGCGTGGCTGCGCATGCGCACAAATTAGAATGCAACGCCGCTCCATAGCGATTGTGCGGATTTAAAGCGATTATAATTGTAGTCAATGCGTTTTAGTCGCGAGATTACAAAATACGTAAGGGCGTTGATGAGTTGCTCGGTGGGGTGGTACGGTTTTGCTGTGGCCGGGTGATAATGTCATTGGAATGAAAGGAGTGGTTGCCTGGTGGTAGCACATAGTGACCGTGAAGAATTTGGCGTAATATGAAAGAATGCAATGCGTAGCCAAAACGATCAGTTAACTGATGGGCGTGTAACCAAGGTTCTAGACAAAAGTTGGGTTAGGTTTGTACATTTACATCAAAACATATTGTTTTCGCAAGTTTTATGGGATTTAGTTGTAGGAAAATATAAAAACATGTTTATTATACTTTGTTTTTATATAATACTTTTGCCACATGTTGCTAAAGAGTATAGTAGAAGTTTTGTTCACCGAACGGTTGTTTGTGTCACTTAAAACTAATCGAGATAGATGTTATATATATATAAATCATCAGGATATACAAACGCCATTAATCGAACACCTTAATTAAGATATTGAATTGTAATTTGGCACTAGGGATCGCAGTAGAAAGGAGCACTTGTGGGCCAAAAAAAAAAATGGGCGTGATTCGCGCGGTAGAAATCGCTTAAGTACCACTACTGACACTGTAAAAACTGAAATGAAATCGAATGATATCCCCACCCACTCTCCATATAACGGTACTGTTAAAAACTACTAAAAGCGCGATAAATATATACATATTGTAAATACACCAGAGATATGAAATTTTACAGCCGAGGTCAAAATTAGACGACGTGGGCACCGCCCACATTCAGGTGGAAACCCATATCTCGGGACCCGTTCGACCGATGTTAACCAACTTCGATAGGTGGCATTATTCTGACAATCTAATGGCGCCGTATGGAAATGGGTGTGATCGGACTACAACCACGCCTATTCCCATATTACACAATTTTAAATCGAAACAAAATTGTTCGGGCACCCAGGTACCGAATATATGGACCCCAATTGCTATCTTAATGAAATTAAATTTTCTTTTGTACTCGAATAAAAGCAATATTGAATTTTTATTATTGCTAGAGTATATATATGTGTCAGTGTTGGTTCAGTTCTTCCCGATATCACCTTTAGTTCTTCCGAAAAAACGCGTTTTGTTGCATATATGTATTTAAATTTTTACCATAATCGGACAAGTAAATTATTCCTATTTAAACATCTATGAATTGAGTGTGAATCTTCTTAGCGGCGAGTAAAGTTTGTGTATAAATAATGCAGTTTTGAGTACATTTGTACCATCATTAAACCAATAAGTGAAATACTTGACTCGTGACAAATATTTACATAAAAAATATGTCAAGATCGAAGCAAATACGTAATGTCTTTAAAAAAGAAATTGTCGCAGTATCGCAGCAGAAATTGCCCGTACGTCAAAATGCTAATAAAGTAGACATCCCTCAAAAAATTCGTTTTTGATCGCAAAAACGGGTCAAAAACGATACCGATGGGCCAAAATTCATGAAAACTGGACTTTCGAGCACTGGAAGCATGTGAACTTTTCGGATAAAGCGAAGTTTAACCTCTGTGGTCGGAAAGTATCCACCGGAATATAACTGCATTCAAACATATTTGATAAATTCGATACCACGTCAAAAAAATTGAGTTTGCAGGCTGTCCGGTTTTTTATGCACAGTACTGTATATAGTGATTGGTAAGATTATATGTTTTAGTTCATATACTTTTCCGTATTGCATGGGATCATTTGGTTCGAAAATCATTCTACCTAAATGATTCCAGCAGTTAAAGAGCAGATATTTTGAAATTTTCAGATATTTATGTTTGTGGTATTTAATTTTTTAGAACGATTTCTGGACTAACGCCTTTCTTAGACTCGGTTAGTTATATCAAGGATTAATTACATTTTTTTATTGCATTTTTTGGAAAGCGTATTATTTGATTGCTAAAAATATATATATGAATTTCAATACAGTCATATTCTTTGTTTTTACTATTTTGTACATAATAATAATGAATATTTTATTTTCTATTTTCTTATTCTTCACAGTTTCTGCCTCGCAGCGAAAATGGTAAGTCGTAAATTCTTTAAAATTTCTTTAATGAAACATGTGAAGAAAATATTATATATATGACCACATCAAAAATAATCAAAATACCAATTTGAAGACTTACTTTAAGGATAGACTTTATTTAGGAATATAAACATAACTATTAGGAAGTATAAATATTCAAAATAACTGTCTATAATAAACAGGTTGATTCTATATGGTATATGGTATACTCAAACATTTGTATAATTCTGTGTATATTAAGTATCTTTAAATTGATCGCGCAATAAGGCCTGTCGAATATTGATCTTTCGAAACTACTCATATACCAAGCAAAGCGGCGGTTGTTGATGTTAATTATATAATCTCAAACGCCAACTATATCAATATATACACATACTTGTATGTGTAAGATACCTCGCAAAGATGTAAAGTTATAGACAAACCAGCATAAGTGGCAACCTCCGCTTAGCATTTCATGGGCAAGCAAACAAGGCGTGTGTGCGAAGCATAAAACAGTGTGAAAGAGGAGTTAAGGTGTGGTTATATGTAGCGAGCAAGTGAAGTAAATTAAATATATTTACATGTAATTTGTTTACATATGCACATATATAAGCCCCGAAGTATAAGAACTGGCAACATTTTAGCTTCGATATGTTCAAAAGGCTTGATAGTTGAAATCATTAACAGATCGCTAAAAAACTGGAACTTTTAATGTTCGAAAGTATCCTCAGCGTTACCTGCATTGTGTTACCATAAAAATAAAGAAGTATTAAGTCGCAACACCGCAGTGCACTTTAATTAAGAAAATCCGTATAGTATGCTGAATGGGAACATAATAAAAATCCACGAAAATTTCCTTTAACAAACGCGTAACACCCACAAGCGCATCAACGCTGTTAAATCGTAGAGCGTTTTCCGCTTCTGCTTTGGTTTATTAAATTTCATGTTGAAAACTTTATTATCTCCACTAAGGCGGTTAAACCTCAGGCAGCGTTAATTATCGGTATATACATACATACAGGCATACACGTATGCAAGTGTGTGAGTAGCTGTGTGCTGCAAGTTTATGCGTTGAAAGATCCATTACCTCGACGCAATCGACACGATTGAGGTGTGAAGTTGCCAACAACAAAGAATAAACACAGAGCAAAACAACAAAATATCATAAAAACTAAATTATTCCACAGTGCAGAGAATATCAGCCACACAGGCAGTGCATCGAATATGTATAAATTATATGTTAGGGTGGAGCGAAAAAAATTTTTTTTTGCTTAGCTTGAGGGTAAAATTTGTAGTTTACAAAAAAAGGAAATTTTTGGAAAAAAACTTACTTTTAAAGTAAATTTCGAGTTAAATTTTAATTTCGTAAAAAATTTTGGAAAAATGTTCTAGAAGCTGTAGAGAGTCCTCTTTCGGGCCAATTAAAAGTTATCAACTTAAAACAATGTTTTGTGGTCATTATTGGAGTTTCAACAAAAAGTCTTAAACGATCACATGCTTTCCTTAAGGGTTAAATTAAATTTTGAGTCAAAAACCGTCAAATTTGGTAATATTTATATAAATGTGAAGAGTTTAAACAAAAAAAAAAAATTTTTTTTGTCCAAACAAAATTTTAACCCGTAATTTACTTTAAAAGTGAGTCTCCAGATGTTAAACATTTTTTCAAACCTATATACTTTACCCTCAGGCTAAGCAAAAAAAAAAAAATTTCGCTTCACCCTAGTATACCTATATATAGGTATAAGTATGTACAAAATGTTCATTAATTTATTTGTATATGCAGACAGATAAAGGCATATTCTGATAGTTTTATATACATACATATGTTTATAAATAGCTATGAATAAGAAAAATTTCTCAAGCGAACTGAAGAATTTGAAAGTTATATGCCTGTGATATGTTGCTGACAGATATGCTGAAAAGTAGAGATCTCAAGAGCTCGTTTATTCGTGCTAACAATGTTAATATTTCCTCGCTGGCAATACTTTTGAATATACTTTTATAGCGGGTTGTATCCCGTTACTTTTTATTATCACATCTTGAAATCTCTCCAACAAAATTGTATTCTTATATTTTTTTTGAGCTAATGAATAATATTGCACGGCTGTCATCGCGAAGCTTTTCCAAGTTATGATGGCGGGAAACTCTATTTAGTTATGTTTGGGACTAGAACTCAAATCTCACTAAGACATTTGCTCTCACTTTCAGAGTAAAAGTCTAACCTAACTTACCATCAGTATAATGTTTTTCGCTCCTTTGATCATTTGTCCTAATACTTAATTTTTTTTATTTTCAAAATCATCATTAATCAAACTCGAATTATCTGCATAGAAGTTCGGGTGATTTCATGCCTGGTGAAGAATTATTTATGTAGTTGATCAGGTTATTTTCGAGAAAAGTGAAATCTTGACTCCAAATACTTGTAGCGACTCTACAATCTGGTTTCTACACAAAATGTATATTTATCGAATTTCGAGATAAAATCTCAACATTCGTATTTATAGCTACGGGTATATGCGTCTGCTGTTCAATGATAACGAAGGTAAAAGGCTAACAAGAAAACTTCAGTGCAACCGAAGCTATAATTCCCTTAATAGATACAAAATAAAATGCATTAACTATTTGTGATTTCAACTTTGGCATCCACTTTGATCTATTAAAATATAAATAAAAAACATTATTTTTAATTTCACACTTGGTGTGCCTCTTAGATGTTTGCCAAATCGAACTGACAAAACGCATAAATTATCTTCTATATTTTATGTGACAATAAATTACTCATCAAGAATTTGAAAATCTTCGCTGTAAATATAAGAATGCTAATGTATGCGACTGTATGTCTTCCGGGTTCGAAAATAGTCCTTTTATTCCCACCCACAATTAACGGTTAAAAATGTAATTAAAGCTCGTCGCATGTTTACAAGTCATTTGTATAAATTAGCATTAATACAACTCAAACAAAATAACCTTAAAAAGAAGAAAAAATTATTCCAAAATTCCGAATAAGCGATGATATCCGAAAATTAAACATCAACAAAAATTATATTATACGCCCAAAACAGCCCGATACGACCAATGACTTTGAAAGTCCTCCCGCATACTTTGACGAAATTACCATAAAGCGCGTGCTTGGTATAATTGTACCCCGAATAAATATGCAAATCGCATTCCTGAAAGCATTAAAGAAATAACTTGAGCCAAAGAGTCAGAAGTTAAAGAACTTTACACCAAATGACACACGAATTACAAATTCATATATTATATATGTTATTCATATGGAACTGTCGCTGGTGAAGAAAAAGTCCCTAAATTAAATAGTCAGCAAGCGTCTGCCACACGACGCACCGCCACCAACCACCTGCACCACCAGCGCCCCCGTGCATGTGTGGGTGTGGTTGTTGTGTCTGTCCGTCCGGGAGTATCACGCTATAAAAAGGAATTTCATCAAAATTCAATGCATTGACACATTATAAAGGAATATTTATTCATACACACGCATTTACATTCATATGGTATATATGGCGTGTAATTTTGTGGTTTTTTATTCGGTAGATTTTGTTTAGGTTTCCATGCAAATTACTTTTTCTGCGCCTGCCGATTAAAGTAGGCGCAGCATGAAAATTAAATTAAATAATATTCGAAATTCATAGGAAATTTTTCGCTGTTTTGAAATTCTACTGATGTTGCCAGCTTTTTAATAGTTATTTAAATAAAAACTTCATCGTTTGGGTTATTACTTGTTAACTGCTGATACTTGAAAGCCTGGGAGCAAATTCTTCCCTTAACATTTTGCACATATTTTATACTTTTATGAAGTTGTCCCGTCGCATGCTTCTCTTGCTCCCAAAACCTTGATTAACATATATATCGGTTCAAATGGACCTGCCTGTTGTCCTTTTGAACCGATATATTTTTGAGTACACTTGATTCAAGCTAAATTGACATTTTACTTAACTCCAGAACTACGAACGAGTTTCAAGTTATTTGAAAGTTAAGAAAATTATTGTTTCGCCATAAGTCTGTTTTACAATTTATTTCGATTCCAGCGAGTGAAGGTGTGATATCCAAGGTATTTTAGACTTAATCTCTCAAAGACGGCTCATTCAAGACGAAAGCTTTGTCCAAACAACTTGGAAGTCCGATAAGATTTTAAGGCTCACCGATAGAATGTTCATAGGAAAATGACTGATTAGAAATCTTACAACTAGAACAAGACCTTGATGAGGGAAGGAATTCAGTGCAGCTTTTCCGATTTATTGCAGGCAGCTGACCAGCGATAATCAAGCTCATGCGAGGTCCAACCGTCGACAGTAAACGACAAGAGCATAGCAGAACTGCGACTCATACCCCATATTTTATTGAACCGAAAGTTCCCCCTGCGGGTAGGGGTAAGAATTTACCCGCGGTAAGGCATGCCGACTAAAAGCCAAATGCACTATGACTGTTAATTTATTTTGCCCAGAATTATCAGCATAGTAAATGATGTCAGAAATAGTGCTATAATACTCAGCTTGAACTGATATTATAGATTTGAAATGAAATCCCAAATAAAAAGACATTTGAAGTTCCAGCGACAAATGTCATCAGTCATTGAGTAATGGGTTGCTCAACTGGCAGTAGTTTCGGCTACACAGTCTTACCGGAGACTTTCTGGTACCAAGGGGAGCAGAAAGCCTTTGGACTTCGGTTCAATCTGCTCATTGGGTTATGGCCCCTTTGGGGAGATTCGTGGTGGCTGTGGTTGAAACCTAAATGCAGGAAGAACTGAAAGTTCAGCCTAACTGTTTTTTCAGTTCTAAAAAGAAGTTGCAAAAAGCAACTGGGTTCCGTACCCGAAAACGGAAGAGGTTTTAGGTCGGCCTCGAATCTTACCAAGATGGTAGTGTGTACCCAGACACACTGGGACGCTTATCAACGCATTGTATTGATACGATGTGCGTTGGAGCACCGTGAGGTAAGGCCGTCGCCGGCAGGTACTCACGTAAATCAACAACGAAAGTTGAACCGAGAGTGCCTTT